GGCACATAACAACAACAACAACAACAACATCTGACATACTTTGGGCATCTTGCAAGGAGGGACCAGTACTTAGAGAGGGACAGCATGCTTGGAAGGGTGGAGGGACAATGCAGGAGAGGAAGACCCTAGATGAGAAGAATTGATTCAGTGACTGAGCAATGGGAATAGATATATCAGAGACAACGAGGTTGGCTCAAGATAGAGCAGGGTTCAGAGTTATTCTACTTAGGCTTACTATATAAGTCACAGGCCACTCAGTGGGCCATAACAATAAAACAAAAACATTTATCAGCCAGAGTGTTTGTAGATGCAGGAATTATGAAATATCATCTCACATTCTTTGGGCACGTTATCAGCAGGGGACCAGTCTTTGGAAATGACATGCGGGGAAAGATAGAGGATCAGCGAAAGAAAAGAAGATCCTCAACAGCATAGGAGAAATGTGGGGTCAAGATTGGTGGACGATTTATCAACAGTCTGCATTATGCAGATGATACAACTCTGCTTGCTGAAACTGAAGAGGACTTGAAGCACCTGCTGCAGAGTGTCAAGGACTGCAGCCTACAATATGGACTGAGGCTCAATGTCAAGAAGACAAAGATTCTCACCACTGGGCCAATTGGTAGCATTAGGATGGATGGTGAAGAGATTGAGATTGTACACAGCTTTGGTTTGCTTGGCTCCACAGTCAACACTCTTGGCACCAGTAGCCAGGAAATTAAAAGGCGCATTGCCATGGGAAAGTCTGCTGTTAGGAACCTCTCCAAAGTACTGAAGAGCAATGGTGTCTCTCTGGAGACTAAGGTGCATTTGATACAGGCCATGGTCTTCACAATCACTTGTTATGCATCAGAGAGTTGGACAATGACCAAGAAGGATAGAAGGAGAATTGATGCCTCTGAGTTGTGGTGCTGGAGAAGAGTATTGAAAGTACCATGGACTGCTAGGAGAACAAACATAGTCATCCTGGAGAGGGTTAAACCATGTTGCTCCTTGGAGGTAAAGATTCTGAGGCTCCATCTAAGATACTTTGGACATGTAGTGAGGATAGACTGGTCCTTGGAGAGGACATAATGCTTGGGAGGGTGGAGGAACAGCACAGGAGGGGAAGGCCCTCTAGGAGGTGGATTGATTCAGTGACTGGGATAATTGGGATGGGAGTGTTAGAGACAGTGTGATTGGCAGAGGACAGAGCAGAGTATAGGACTGTTGTACATATGGTCGTTATGAGTCGCAAGCGACTCAACGGCACATAAAAACAACAACTAGAACAACTGACAATTTAGATATAAGCAAGGTGGAGATCATGAGAATGGTGCAGAATAGGTCAAGGTTAGATCCATTGTTCACAAGATCGCATGAGTCATAGTATATTGGACAACATTAATAAAAATGAATTTATGTAACATTGGGAGCTGTCACCCAAGTTAGAAGATGAACAATATCCTCCCATAAAGATTTATAGACTCAGAAACTCAGTAGAGCATTTTCATGAGTTGAGATCAATTAAACTGGATGACATTGAGTTAATGGTTTTTGAGTTTTGGTTTGATTTTGCAGTATTGAACAAATGCCTTTAAGACAATATAGTCTTTAGTCCAAGTTGTTGTTCTTAGGTGTCACTGAGTATGACACCTAAGTAGCAGCCCTGTGAACAACAGATCTGATCAGTGTCTTATCCTGTGCCATCCTCATCATTTCTCACATACTTGAGCCTGTTGCTGTAGCCATTGTGTCCATGCATTTCCTCTCTTTCACTGACTCGCCACCTTCCCAAACATAATGTTCCTTTCCAAGGAACAGCAACATCTCCTAGCAACATCCTTAAAGTATGAGAGATGAAGCTATGTCACTTTGCCTCCAAGCAGCACTCTGGAAGTATTTTCTCCAAGACATATCTGTTTGTCCATAGGATATTCAGTACTCTTCTTCACACCACAGCTCAACGGCATCAATTCTTCTTTTGTCATCCTTATTCATAGGCCAGCTCTCAGATGCATAGTAGGTGATTGGAACAACTGTGTCTTGAATCAAATGTTCCTTAGGCTTTAAACAGTGATCATTATTCTTAAAAACTTTGGAGAGGTCCCTGATAGCAGACATTCCCAATGCTGTACATCTCCTAACCTCTTGACTCTGGTACTAAAGGTTTTGTTTGTAAAGTAGGTAAGATGAAATCATTGGCAATTTAAATGTTCTCACTGTCTATCATAGCGTTGACGATTGGTACAGCAGTGAATATTTTTGTCCTCTTGATATTGAGATGTAACCCATATTGAAGGCTATAGTCCCTGATTGTCTGCAAATAAGTACTGCCAAGTAGGCAAGCAAGATTGTATCATCTGCATAACCTAGGCTTTTGATGAATCTTCTTCTAATCTTGACGCCATGTTCTCACATTCTTTCCCATAGAATCTGGAGTTCTTTAACTATTTTGCTCAGCATACAGCCTGAATAAGTATGGGAAAAGGATATAGTCCAACCACATACCTTTCTTAGTTATAAATCATGCAGTATTCCCTTGCTCTTTCAAACAGAACTCAATTTTAAGTTATATGCTGTTAAATTTATCCAGCTCAACTTCTCCTTAGGGACCCAGCTCTGCCTTACAACACCTTTTTCTACTGACACCTTCTACTGAATCCTTGTTAAGTGGCATAGTCAGTGGGGTGATTTTTTACTCATCTGACATACTTTGGGCATGTTGCAAGGAGGGACTGGTCCTTGGAGAGGGACATCATGTTTGGGAGAGTGGAGGGACAACCCGGGAGAGGAAGACCCTCCATGAGATGGAACAATTCTGTGAGTGGAGTGGTGGGAATGAGTGTGTTTGAGACAGAGAGGCTGACACAGGATAGAACGACGTCTCCTGTACATAGGGTCGCTATGATTTGCAAGTGACTTGATGGCACATAACGACAACAACATATAGTAAGGATATGTCACTCATCTCCCAAATGTCCCTCTGTTGCAGGCTGAGGGTAAAGTATTTTTATAATTATTAATAATGAGGCAGATGACCAAGAATGATCTAGAACAGAAAGCATAAAAAAACAGGGAGCCAGCAGTTCTTGACTGAAGCTGAAGGCCCCTATTCCAGCTTCCCTGTATCTTTATTGAAAATTATCAGGAAGTAAATCACAAAGAGAATTCAATGCAAATGAAGCAGAGCTCTTTCTATTGAAAACCTTCCCCTTGACTTAGGAGGGAGGGGTCAGCAAATACAATGCAAGAATCTGGTAAACCTTTAAGGATTGCCTTGGTGCCTCAGGGTGAACCTCAGCTTGTACCTGAAATAGCATTGGTTTATTACAAATATTTAATTGGCTTCCCATATGCCTCAAAGTCTGTTATAAGTGTAATACATGACACAAAAATGGAATACTCAAAATAGTGAGGGGGAAGGGAATCTGTAGAGATTAGAAGTAAATGAAGGCCAGAAAAGGAAGTTTCAAAAATCAGTAGACACAAGATCTAAGCAGACAGAGGAGAAAATTTAAGAGGTGACATAAAGATACTTAGACTGTTACAGAAGTGAAGGAATAGTGAGGGAAATGTCATTCCTAAGAAATGGAGCTGTGGTTGAAAATGTTGAGGGGATTGGCAGGTAAAACCTTAGGCTCTGCTAGTTCCGGTCAGGCCAGGGGACCTGGCAATGCTTTCTCCCCTACTCCTCCAAAGTCCTTAATCTCTCTCTTACCTACTTCCTGTCCCAGACAATTCTTGTTCCCAACAGATGTGCTTTACCAGTTTGTATAGGACTTCAAAGAGAGCAGAGGATCATTTAAATATTCCCTCAAGGGTCGATAATTTTGGAAAGCTAGTAAGTGCCATCCCAAGGAAAAGTTGACTCCTTTTTAAGTTCATCTGAGTTTGTTTCTCTAGGAGATTATGCAATCCTTAAAATAATAGATAATTGAATGTATAGAACAAGGATTTACTATAACATAGTCCCTCCCAAAAAATTGCCGACAAGTCAACCCTTACCCATGGTGACATGATAGAACAGTACACAACAACCTGTCGTGATACCGACTACTGGCCACAATGGTAGGGATTTTTTTGTTTCTTCTGCAGTAACTTCTAACACAATTGGAAGAATCTTTTTTTTAAGAAATTTACCCAAAATCCAACTATGTTAAATTTTCTCAATGTCACTGGCTTCATCTAAAATCTCACTGCTAGTTTAATTTTAATAAGCTGCATATATTCAGCATCAGCATCGTATGAAAAAAAAAAATAAAAGGCTATGTAGTCAGCACTTGGGTTCTATAGTTGATGGCTGGAGGGTCAGCTATGAGTTGGTTCTGATACAACAGAACACAACACCAACAAAAGATATCCATCATAAGAAATTAAGAACGAAGATTCATTCCCCCGCCCCCGCCGAGGGTCCCAGCAGCACGCGGCGAGCAGAGGAGAGGCAATGCCAGAGCAACCCAGCTTCGCAAAGGCTCTGTGCGCTCCGAGGCCCATAGGCACCGGGCAGGAGCCCTCCCTGCTGCCAACGTGCCCAAGAGGAAGGTCAGCTTGGCCGAGGGTGCGGTGAAGGAGGAGTCCAAGAGGAGATCAGCGAGGCTTTCAGCTAAGCCGCCTCCAAAAGTGGAAAGGAAGCCCAAAAAGGCAGCAGGAAAGGAGAAGTCTTCTGACAAAAAAGTGCAAACAAAAGGGAAAAGGGGAGCAAAGGAGAAACAAGCTGAAGTGGCTAACCAAGAAACTAAAGAAGATTTACCTGCAGAAAATGGAGAAACTAAAAACGAAGAGAGTCCAGCCTCTGATGAAGCAGGAGAAAAAGAAGCCAAGTTTGATTAATACTTGTCTGCCATGTCTTATCAGTGGTCCCTGTATCTTCTTTCTCGTACAGTCCAGAAATATATTTTTATCAACTATTTTGTAAATGCAAGTTTTTTAGTAGCTCTAGAAACATTTTTTGTTATTACTTTAGTTGTTTTTTTTTTAAAAAAAAAACATTTTTAAGAAAAAGGAAATCCCACTTCATCCCATTTTTAAGTGTAAATGCCTTTTAAGAGGTGAGATCATTTGCTAGTTGTTTATTTTTTGGTACAACCAGAAAATGTGGGATGTTAAAATTGTGGGGGCCTTTGGATGTCAGTGTAACATGCCATGGGGAAAGGGGACAGTTTTTATGTCCCATAATACATAGTATACTTACTGACAATTTGGAGTAGTAGTCATGCATTTATGACTTGAACATTTTAAATTAAGCCTACTTTCCATGTTTTTAGATACATAAATTAGAACATTGTTTAGTAAAATTTCTTCTTAAACGTAACCACTCCCTTTTCATGGCTTTCTTTCTGTCAGACTATGTGGATTCTGTGACATCTTTGTTCTTGGTAGTCTAGTTTTCCTAATAACTTTGTTATGTGCTGTAAACAGTTGAAAATTTGAATGTGTGGTATGTGTGATAGTAAATCGTGAATTAGTGGGACTTAATGATGTGAGAGTTTATCAACAATTGAAGATATTGGTACTTATTTTCTTCTTTATGAAAACTTTTCTCCAAATTTAAAGCTGGAAGGTCACTGGAATTTAGAAAATAATTATAACTACATGGCTTTTTAGATTTTTGGTACGTGCATTAAGAATTGTGTACAGGTTGTTCATAATGTGGTTGTATTGGCCCTTAAAACAACCAATAAAATATAAATAAGGGGGGGGGAAGAAATTAACAAATAGAAAATAAAAATGTCCATCTTTTACATTCCTTTAAAACCCAATTAGTTATTATATAAGCAAATAAAGAAAAGAAATACTAACAGAAACATGATAATTGAAAAATACCCTAAAACTCCTTCTAAAACTATGAGTCATATTTCCTCAGATGAATTGCTTAAAATCAACGCTTTCAGACAAACATTTTTCTGAAACAGGCCTGGAGTCATTTCAAAGGACTGGTGAGGGAAAAATGCTGTCTTTCTTTTTTGATAAGATAAAAATTCTTCCAAGAATCAGTCTTGAGAATGACTTGAAAAGTAACACATGCCAGGAGAAATATTTATAGTCTTCAATTTGTTATATTAATGATTTGAAACATATGTGGTGATATCAAAACAATGAAATCAAATGTGATAGCTCCACATGCTTCTAACAAGATAAATTCTGTAGAAATAGCTTCTGATACACACGTGGCAATAGGAAAACATCAGAAACGGGGGAACATCCTGCTAAATTCACATCTACTCAGTTGCTTCCAAGTTAGCTCTCACTCAAAGTGACCTCATATGTGCCAGAGAAGAACTGTGTTCCACAAAGTTTCCAATGACTAATTTTTCAGAAGTAGACCAGGTCTTTCTTGTGACGCCTCTCTGTTGTCCTTCTTGTCTGTCATTGACCTAGAACCTACTGATAGCTGACCCTCCAGTGGGTTTTCAGAGGCAGTATTTACACAGGAGCTGATTGGCCATCTTTCTTCTGCAGAGCAACTGGTGAATTTGAATGATTGCCTTTGAGTTATCAGCTCCTTAACAGTAGGACACCAGTGCTCTCCTTCTGTGGGGATTGAAATCTCTAATTTTTTCTTTGTGTTAGTGATCAAGTTCCTAGGAATTTGTGCAGCCAGTGAGTGACTCCTGGTCAATTCTATATTGGTAATAAAATCAATAACATAAACCATTTTTAGGGTTATGGTAGGGAAACAGATGATAAGGAGCTCAGAAGAGATCATCAGTTCTGCTGAACTCTAACCCCACCTGTTTAACCATCCACACAAAACTCAACTGACTGCCCTCAAGTTAGAACCAACTCATGGCTGATCCTACACTGGTGTTCAGAGGCAGCAAAATGTATGTTGTTGTTGTTGTTGTTGTTATGTGCCGTTGAGTCGTTTGCAACTCATAGTGACCCTAGGTACAACAACCCTAAACCCTGCTCTATCCTGTGCCAATTGCATTACCTCTGACATACCCATCCCAATTACCCCAGTCACTGAATCAATCCACCTCATAGAGGGTCTTCCCCTCCTGTGCTGTCCCTCTACTCTACCCAGCATGATGTCCCTCTCTAAAGACCTGTCTCTCCTTACAACATGTCCAAAGTAGGTCAGACGAAGCCCCAAAATCCTTGCCTCCACGGAACAGCCTGGTTTAACCCTCTCTAGGATGAATCTGTTTGTTTTCTTGGCAGTCCATGGTACATTCAATACTCTTCTCCAGCACCACAGCTCAAAGGTGTCAATTCTCCTTCTATCCTCCCTAGTCATTGCCCAACTCTCTGATGCATAACAAGTGATTGCAAAAACCATGGCCTGTATCAGGCACACCTTAGTCTCCAGAGAGACACCGTTGCTCTTGAGTACTTTAGAGAGGTCCCTAACCGGAGACTTTCCCATCGCAATATGTTTTTGGATTTCCTGGCTGCTAGTGCCAAGAGTGTTGACCGTGGAGCCAAGCAAACTGAAGCTGTGAACAATCTCAATCTCTTCGCCATCCATCCTGATGCTACCAATTGGTCCAGTGGTGAGAATCTTTGTCTTCTTGACATTGAGCCTCAGTCCATACTTAAGGCTGCAGTCCTTGACCCTCTGCAGTAAGTGCATGAGGTCCTCCTCAGTTTCAGCGAGCAGGGTTGTATCATCTGCATAACGTAGATTGTTGATAGATCGTCCACCAATCCTAACACCACGCTTCTCCTCATAGAGCAAAATGTATAGGAGGAGATAATTCATCTTTATCTCTCAGAGCAGTTGGTGGATTAGACACAGAAAATAATCAGTAGGAAATCTCTTGTTTTGTTGTGGAAGTAAAATATTCCTATTTTGGCTACACTCAGGCAGGGAATACAACTCATCAGAATATTCCTTTGAGCTGCGGAGTTGGAGAAGAGCATGAATATCCTATGGATGGCCAAAAGAACGCACATATATGTCTTAGAAATGCTGCAGCTGGAGTGCTGTTTGGAGAATAGAATAATGAGACTTTGCCTCCATACTTTGGACATGCTGCTAGGAGGAGCTATTTCTTGGAGAGGGACATGATGCTGGGAAGGGTGAAGGGTCAGTGAAGGAGAGGAAGACACTCAACCAGGTGGATTGACACGGTGACTGCTGCAATGGTCTCTCTGTGTCAGGAGGTGTGAGGGTGGCGCAGGACAGAATAGGGTTCAGATCTTTTGTTCATAGGGTCGCTATGAGTCACACCTGACTTGACAGCACCTAACAACAACAACAACAACAACAGTAAAAACAATATCTACTCATTCTGTATGCTGAATATTCCAGAAGCTAGACTCTGAAGACGAATGTGGAATCAGGATTGGAGGAAGACGCATTAATAACCTATGTAATGAGGATGATACTACCTTGCTTGCTGAAAATGAGCAGAACTGGAAGCGATTGATACAGAACAGTGTATACTGTGGTCAATATGTATTGCATTTCAATATCAAGAAAACAAAAATTCTCACCACTAGACCAATAGGCAACATGGTGACAGATGGATAAAAGATTGAAACTGCGAATGACTTCAACAAACTTGGATCCACAGTGCATACCCTTCGTACCAGCAGTCAGATCAGAAAATATATTGCACAAGAAAAGTCTGTAGTTAGGAACATTTCCAAATTATTGAGGAGCAATAATGTCAGTTCGAGGACTAAGGTATGACTCATTCAGGGCATAGTCTTTTCAACAACTTGCTATTCATCTGAGAACTGGACAAAGAATAAAGATGACAGAAGGTGAACTTGTGCCTTTGAGATGTGGTATTCGAAAAGAGTATTGAATATTTCATGGATTGTCAAAAGAATAGGTATGTCTTGAAGAAGGTGTGGCCAGAATGCCTGTAGGAGACAAAGATGACAAAACACTTTGGACTAGTAGCTCAAAGTTTCCTGCTGTTGAGTCAAAACCAACTCATAGCTACCTTTCTATTGGATTACTTAGGTTATACACTATATTGTAGGAGATACCGTTTTTATTTCCCGTGGAACTACTTGTGGATTTGAACCATCAGAGATGTTAGATTTTTAGGTTGGCAGCACAGTAATGGTATAATTATCAGATTTAATGAGAACCAGTTTGGTTGGGGGTCAACAGTTTAGGCTTGGCTTACAGAAAGGAAAGGGATAATAGTACCATCACTTAAAGCTGATCATATAAAAAAAATGTGAATAATTTTCACTTAAGCCAGAAAAAAAAGGGAATACTTTTTAAAAAGGTATAAAAATCAGTGTTAGAAACCCAGATAAATAGTTCCAAATTATTTAGCATTATTAAAATGTTTAATTACTAATGAAATTAAGAAAGATATGTGTCAGAATTGTTTCCTTTTTCCATACCTTTCAATCTGCATGCTGAGCAATTCAAGAAACAAGACTATAGAAAGAACTTGGTATAAGGACTGGAATAAGACTGACAGCACTCTGTGTTGTGTAGATGATAGAACTTTGCTGGTAGAAAGGGAAGAGGACTTAAAACCCTTGCTAAACCAAAGACCACAGCTTTCAATAATGATTACATCTCAGCAGCAAGAAAGAAAAATCCTCATCTCTGGATGAATAGGTAATATCATAATAGAGAAAAAAAACTGAAGTTGTCAATAATTTCATTTGATTTGGATCACCAATCAACACAGTGGTAACAATAGCCAAGAAATCAAAAGATATGTTTGGAAAATACATTGTCAAAGATCTTTCCAAAAGTGCCAAAGAGCAAGGGTCAATTAAAGACTAAGGTCCCTGATTCAGATCACCCCGGTCTTTTCAATTACTAGCTGTGCTTCTGAAAGAAGGACAGAAGAGGAATCAGTGCCTTTGAGTTGTGATATTGGAGAATACTGAATACGCTATGAATT